TGGTGACCGGCTTGTTTGTCAGACAGAACCACCACCAGATTTTCAGGCCAGAAGGCATCACTGCAATGACACCTTGCATAACACACAGTGTATGTGACCTCATTAATTCCGATGCTGAGCCTGGTATCTACTGGGGCTGAACTAAACATCTTTAGATAAAAATCCCACCTCAGTTGAAACACTGAGAAGTAGAGACTCCAACCTATGTACCTCTAAGTGCTAATCATTGATTTCCCAAGCTAGCTCATACCTGGTGTGAGCACTACCCGGCCAAAATACTACAATCCCAACCGGACACACTTCCTAACAGCAGCAAAAAGATTCCTTCAGTGCTTGTGCTTAAGATGGCCACAGGAAATAGAAGGGGGAAGCATTCCAAAGTGGCCAACCCAGCCAAGTGAAAACCTTGTGCAATCTCCTCTTGCAGCCAAGGTCAGTAATTAAGTTAAACTCACCTGTCAATCTCGCTGCTGGTTGGCCTGACCACTTTGGCCCCAGAGGACCCTAATGCGTAAGCCTCTTGGCCCATCGAGCCGTGGCCCGTGGTGTCGATCACCATAGCCGTGACCTCCTCGGCACTGCTCCCATCTTCTCCTGACGGCTGATGCTCTGCCCCAAGCCACTCCTCCAGGTTCTCCGTTTTAATGCGTACTCCTCCCAGCACCCGGACATCATCGTCGTTCCGTCCCCCCCGGTCTCCCATTCCCGTCTCAACATACCACTGTCCCGCTCTGTTAATTCGTAGTATGGGCTCCCTGCTTTCCACGTCTGAACTCTGCTCAATTATCTGGGGGCTGGTGGACTCCTCGGGGGGGCTGAGCTCCCGGATGTCCAGCACTGTGCTGACCTGGCCCAGGCGACTCCCCTTCAGGGTGTTGTGACGCGGGCTCAGAGAACGGTTTAGGTTTGGCGTCACCCGGTGAGACTCCGGTGGTCTCTCCTGATGCTTTGTCCTGGTCTGGCTCAATTCTGCTTCCACCTCTGCCACATTAATTTTGAAATGAATTCCCTCGAGAATCTGCGTGCATTTGTCTATGATGTGCTGCATCTGCAAGAAACTGGCGGCTGTTAGGTAACTGATGATGTCAGCCAGCTGCAGACAAATCCTACCGGTGTAACAAAAGGAAAGGAGCTGCTCGAAAACAGAAGGGTTCTTGATGACAGAAATGGAAACAGTGCTCATTTCGTTCAAGGACATGTGGTCGCGGAAGTAGGGCGAGCTGGCAGCCAGCACCACCTTGTGAGCACGGAAAGCTTGCCCCTGCACGTTGACCACAATGTCACACAGGCGACCCTGCATGCGTAACTGATTCAGGTGGCTCAGGACAGAGTTACTGAAGTCAGGAATCTCCAGCTGAATGTTCCCACTTTTCTCCATGGCTGTCCCAGTTGCAGGTGCACAGCCCTACTGAAAAGGGGGGAAAAAATACCATCATTAGCAGAGCTATCATTTGCATTTAAAACATTTTTCACCCACTTTCATGCAGTTTGAAATACTGGGATTTTTAGAGAAATCTCTCACCATTCAATACACAAGCGCCTCGCAGCAGTTCTCTGATCTTTACGTGCTGTACACCACCTTTCACAAGAATTATGTAAAACCAGTCCCTGACAGGTCCCTCTGGCTTAAATGCTCGAAACAGTTCATTCTGTCAGCCTCAATAAAAGCACATTTGAATTGTAGAAAGAACATTAAAAATGGTTCAGGTACTAAAAATAGGCAACTGATTGCATAATGGATTAAAATACTTAGCACTTGTACCTTCTAATCACTTTGAAAAGGGAAAGTAATATTGTTATCCCTCCTTTGTAGAGCAGGGATCAGGAAGGAGACACTGGAACCCAAATCCTGCTGAGAGACTTTTCAAAAGCTGAACTGCACACATTTGCCCTCAAGGCATCTTAAGTACATCCTTAAAGCCAAGATATTCATCATACGTGGTGTTTCTGACACACGGCAGAAAATATATAACAGCACGGTGAAAGAAAATGAACAGAATTCAGTTCTAAACACCAATGTATCAGAACATCCACTGGGCACAAGGGACTCCCTGGGAAAATAAGCTGGTGTTTGTGTAGTTTGAGATACAGCGTACAGCAAAAGGCAACTTACTAACAATGGGGATTAACAAACTAGCCCTCCTAGTTTCCCTTCCATAATTCATTTTTCTATAATCATCACATTTCATTTTGGCCAAGTTTGAAAAGAAGCCCTGACCATATATGGTAAAAATTTAGAATGATCCAAAATTAGATGTAAACTCGCCAAAAAATAAAAAAAAAAAGGAAAGTAAATAAGTTTATTAAAGATTAAAGACCACCAGTCATGGCAGGAACAGCTTCCAAGCTGGATGGCATCTGAAGTGTTGATTAAGCAGAGTGCTGCAGATATCAAAACAATCTCAGGCAGGCCAGGAACACCGAGGTTCACAGTGCTTACTCCGAGAAATCTCAGAATCAAAGGGACTAGCACACAGGAAAGCATGTGTGCCTTTGAAGGCCTTTCTTTTTTTTAAATTTATGAACACTGCAGGATAGTACATGTTCATATGCCCAACCAGACTTTGTGCAAACTTGGCAAAATATGTTACTAAACCTGAAGCTGCAGGACAGCCTGTCAATCTTGTGAAGTCGTGCAAAGAGATTACTGCACAGCCAGACGGCTGCGTGTCTCTGGGGTAGGTGAGGTCAGGGGGGCACAAAACTGCATGAGGTGCAGTTTAAACACTGTCATGTCTTAAGACTTCTTCTCCCCTTCCTCTACATTTAGAAGAAAGCAATAAAACCCACAAAACCCAAGGAACTATAACGCACAGGTCTGCGTGAACACAATGTTAAGAACAGAACTTCAAATGTGCAAAACAAAGGAAAACAGAAAATCCAATGTCTTACCTGTACCCTTACGAATAACATGCAAAGGGGAGAACCAGGGGTGGTGTGTTCTTGTTTTCCTTTTTTCTTTTGATGTAGTAAGAAGGTCTGAAGCTTTCTGCCCCCTTCCCCTTTAGAAAGAAAAATGAAAACCAAAAAAGGTAGCATGGGGGAATTGGGTTCTCCTGAGCACAACTGAGAATGTCAAGCTCTGTCCTTTGTTTTGCTGGAGGATACAGCAGCAGGATTAGCTAACCATTACATGACGTCCCATCCCAAAGCACAGAGAAACACTGAATCTTATCAAATTGATCTTTCCTCTGCTGTCTGCTCAGTGTTTGTGTTGTACCGATGGTCATTAAAATAAAAAATGGAAGTGCAAATAACCTGAATAAGTAACTTCCTTTCTTAAGGGGCTAGTATCTTTGGCACTAACTGTGCAGCATTTAAACACAGGCAGGTTCTTCCTCAAATGAGCCGTCTCACATCTCACTTACACAGTCTCACACCGGCAGGAACACTCACACAGCCGAAATCACATCGAGCAAATGTTTACAGGACTAGGGAGCCTGTAATCTCATCCATCACCTTCCCAAACCACCAGTTTCTAAAGCGGTAAACCCCAAAGCATTCTCTTAAGGAAGGCATCCTTTGTGGTGGGCAAACAGCCCCGGCAAGGCAGCAAGCGCCCAGGCAGGCAGCGCAGGGAGAGGCCAGGGCAGAGACTGAACATTCGTTTCTTAGGGGTCAGCTCAGGACACACAGAACAAGAAGGGAAAAAACAAAAATCAGGCCTTAACTGCTGAGCATGGCTGTGTACGGCCCTGCTTAGAAGTCAGCTGCTCCCAGGGAAGCCTGAGAAACTATTTGTGACCTTCTGCTCCAAAGGCAGGGAAAAATCTGTGTGCCACTGATGGCAGGAGAAAAGGACTCCCATAGCTTCATTCACCTCAGTGTTGAGGAAGTGGCATTTTATGATACACTTTGGGGACAGCCTCAGGCAGAGGCTGGCAAGGGGGAAACTATTATTTTGGTTCAAATTACCCTGTCAAAAGATTATTTCTGTCCTCCCAGGTAAGGGGTCTACCATAAGCTTGTGCACCTCAGCCAGAAGTGCAATGACATCTCGATTTTTGTCTTTCCTGGCACTGGATTGCAAGTTCAGCATCACAGCCTTTACCTGCAGGATGAGCGGGATCTCCAGCTGAGCTGTGCTCTTCATAGAGAACACACCGAGACACTTATCTATTTTTAATACAACTTAAAGTGTCGCCAGCTGAGACTTGGATTTACTTATCTCTGAAAATGCCTTTCACCCTGTGAGGCAAGTGTAACTACTGAGACCAGGAGAAATTCTCGATCCATCAGGCCCTTGTAAAAAGCTGGGATACACCATCTGCAGCAGATGATGCTCGCTCTGAATATATCCTTTGTCAGAAAACTGTCAAGCTGGCAAGCTGTTTAGAGGAGGTGGAACTGAAAAGGAACTTTTGGGGCCAAGATTTACCACGACTGGCCAACTTTACTACATCCAAATTACAATGGGACCTTAGTAAAGATGAAAACAATAGTAATTCTAAATTGAGATGGGAGATACTGCCTCTCTCATCCTTCTCCGTCTCAGCTAAAAGAGCAAATTTAACAGTGCTTGGATTTTTCCCCACTAAATCGCTCCGAAGCGACGACCCCAGGCCTCGGCTCCCATCGCGAGTCCATTACGGTTCATTTTTAGCGCTGACAGCTGCCGAGAAGCGCCTGACGACCCGCACTCGGAGCTGCGGGGAGAAGGCGGCCCGAAATCCACCCTCTTCTCCCCACGAGGACGAAACCAAGCCAGGCCGCCCCTCCCGCGGGGCTGACAACGCACCGCTCCCCCTCCCACAGGGAACAGCGCCGGCCGGGGAGGCGGGACGGGCCAAGCCCAGGGCCGTGGGGGTGGCCGCGGGGCCTCTGGGGAGGGACGGGCCCGGCCGGCGGAGGCC